TTTCTGGGCGATAAAATCAGAGGAAATAATTTTAATGCGTGTGAAATAAAATGTGTAATAATATATATAATTGGTAATTATAATTACATTTTTTTCTGTAATCGCAATAAACAAAACGTTTAAAAAATATGAATATGTATTTGTCAAAATCAGATTCGTCGTGCGGTGGATTTTCAGATACTTTATCTCATATTTTATCATATGCTACAAATATCATTAATTTTTCTTTTAATAAACATATTACACATATTTGAAAGCTCTAAAAATATGATAATTTCGTATTGTAAATTTGAAGTCTTTTTATAAATCGCATTGTGACACACATAGTCAATTTTAATATGTGTTTATAATAAACACATTTAAAGAAAAAGTACATATTTGAATTATGACATATAATTGTATATTTGTAAAAGTTTAAATGTGTGAATGTAAAAAATATAAACTAATTTTATCGATAACCAACGACCTTGTATATGCACTTGTAAATAATTTAAATGATATTGAAATTTCTTTTTGAATTTTCAAATTTGCATCGACAATTCCGTGTGAACAAATAATATTTCGTTATCCATTTATATATGATATAAAATGTCAAAAAATATATAATTTTAAAATATAATAAATACGTTAATTGCCATGTCAGTCATATGTGTCCGACGCTAAAAAGTTTTACGCGAATTGTGTCAGACATATATGTCTGACATACACAACTACAATACATCGAAAAAAAATTATATAAAGCCATGTCAATTATATATGTCTGACATAAATAAATAGTGTTTTTCCTGGAATCATGGGAAAAAAATTTCTTTGATACATTAAGTTTTTTTGATTATTTTTTAACTGAATTGTTTAATAAAGTTACCATGATCCGCCTGAAATTTTTTATTATTAATAATAATTTTATGTTAATAATAATAAGTTTTCATATGTTTATAGCCAATAATTTTATATATTTGCTTAAAAGCTTCAATAAAATCTGTGTGTATGTTATAAATATTTTTAAAGCGTATAAATTTTAAAATTTAAAATAAAGAAAACACCAGTTTTTGGTAATGTAATATTTTTTTTAATTTAGCATTTTAAAATATTGTACCTAATTACTTTAAATACCTTGGTGTTTCATAATAAATTAAAAATAAATTTAAAAAATAATAAATATGTTTGTAAGAGATATATCAACAAATCGTGAAATAAATACAAAAAATATAAACTATAAATAAATAAATATTAAAATAATAACGAAAATTTATACAAAGATAAGTTTAACCGAAGCGACGGTTAAATTACAACCAAAGATTCACTCATTTTTATTTTAAAGTTTTGTATAATAGCTTGTAGATATATATATATATATATATATATATATATATATATATATTTTACAAGTATATAGTAAATATTAAATTTTTTAAATATTGTTGATTTTTTATATCTTTTTCTTTAATTCCTTATATCAATTTTAAAAATGTTTGCGCTAAAATTTGGCACCACATTGATTTATTTGTCTAATTTAAATTACATGTCGCAAAATTTTATTATTAAATAAAATAATTCCAGTTTCTCACAATATTTCGTGCATTTTTAACATTAACTATTTTGAGTTAAAATTTATAATTCAGTGAATATGATTAAAAATATTAATATATAACATAATTTTATAATTTTAACTATAATCTACTATATTAAATTAAATATAAACCAAAGCGACTAAATGCTATGTAATGATATTATTTAATCCTGATTTATAAATAATTATGGTGATTAAATAAAGATTTTCGAAGTTGTAACTATCCGACGGCACCGGAATTTTTGTACCTTGATTTGTATCTTCATATATATGAAAACACATTCGAAATAAAATATGTTTTATAAACCGTGATTGTTGTAATAATTTATTTGTTATAAATTATAATTAATATTTATATGCTTTGATTGGTTTAACTTCAAAAATTCAAGAAAAAATATCAACGCTTTTCCTCGCGAAAAACTTAACTAACCTTTGTTTCTTTTTCTTATTGTTAGTAAAATTACGAACTACATATATATAAAAAAGTAAAATAAATTCAAAATGAAATAAAAAAAAAAATAAAAAAAATAAAATAAAAAAAATAAAATAAATTAAAAATAAAGTAAAATTAAAGAAGTGAATTATACATTAGTGAAATTTATTAAAATGACTAAATTTGCAGTAAAATGCAAATAGCCACTAATACAAAATCAGTGAAATAATAAGAAATAGTAAAATAACAGTAATAATATAAATTATTAGCAAAAACGAATGAAATTTAAGAAATTAAATGAAAAATCCACAGTGACTTTAAAAAAATATAAAAAATAATACAAAACAATGCAAATAAATGAAATAGTGTAAATATATTCTTATAATGAAAAAAATGGAAAGTGGAAATTTAAAACAATATTTAAAAATAAAATGAAGTGAAATAACTTGAATGCATTAAGTCAAATATGAAAAGTAACGAATAGAGTAATATATCTGTAAAAAAATTAATAAAAAATAATAACATTAGATAATATTTGATAAAATATAATAATATAATATGTAACTAATAAAACAACTCAGATTCGTTATTTGATAATATGCACAAACTAATTTAATATGTTTTATTTTGATATAAAAATAATGAAAGATTAATTTATTTTAATATTATCTTAGCGTATGTTTTAAAAATCACCCCTTCAACTAAATCGGTTTATTGAAAATTTATTTCACCCTTATATGCATACCCCATAATTTTTGCTCAGAACAGAGAGAAAGAATTTATCTGCAATTTACTTGTTAATGAAAAAACGATTATGAAATAAAATGTTGATTATTAATAACAAATTAAAGAAAAAGATATTAAAAAATTTAAAAAAATCCGATATTGTACATGATTTTTTAATTATTTGGAGCATATTTGTAATGCTATAATTCGTTTATAGAAATCGTCTATTTTTTGTATTTAATTCAAATACTCGTGTTCAGAAATAGTTACTGCTTAAATAAAAATATTAAATACATTGGCATAAATTAATATTGTTTTAAAAAAATATTTAAGTTAAAAAATAAAACCTATATAATACAAATAAATATTTTTACTAAAATATTAATCATAATTTTATTATAATTTTTTTATTATAAATATTATATATTTTATTATAATTTAGCACAATTTCATAAAAACAATCGTAAACGTTATATAGCACGATTGTATTTTTCCTTCTGTGCATCTCATGTTGTTTCTCTGAATGAATATTTTTAATGAAATGTTTTAATTAATTATAATTCATTTTTGTGTCTACAAAATATGCACAGATTTTTTTTTCTGAATGTGTAAATTACCTAATTTACGAATTTTTACGGATCATTTAAGTTTTAGTGAGTGAACAAGGTGTATGTACCTTAATTAATACAAAATACCGTTATAATAATATGACGTACTGAAATTTATTTAAATTAAGATATTTCACGGATTTCTATTTGATGATCTTCAAAATGTTGACATATCTTTTGTATTATGTTGTGTAAAATGAATTTTCGAATATATAATGCTGGATACAAAAATCAAGAAAAATTATTTAACGAAATTTCAAAGGGATTTATTCATATTTTAACACTTTAATTGCCACAATGATATTGGAAAAAAAATTCTATGGGCCATGGGCCAAATAATTTAGTTGCTAGGAAACTTAATGTACCAAAAAACAATATTTTTCAGCCAAAATTCATAGAAAAACACTATATTTATGTCACACATATATGACCGACATAGACCTATATTAAAACTATTTTTCTCGATGACTATCTTATATAGAACTTCTTAGCGTCAGACACATATGGCTGACATGACGATTAATATGTTATTTTTATTTTATTTTTTTAATTTTTCTTCATATAAAATATTACAGTTAACATTGTTTTTATCATATTATAATTAATTATGGAAATTCTTTTTATTATAAAATATCCTAATTGAATATTTTGTTGATAAGAGTATTTTTTGAATGTTTGAGATTTATATTTTAAAAAGTTTAAATTAATTATTTAAGAAAAGGATCAGCATTATGTGAGAAGTATAAAATTTTGCAAATTTAGGTAAATGTTTTGAAAAACTTCATCATTATATGAAAAATTATATGTGTTTATTGAATTTGTCATCAGTTCTGCAGTTTAGAACTATGGTGGTTTAGTTAAAAGCATTTTTTCGATCGACATTTGCAAAATATGAGATAAATTTGCAAATATTATTATTTTTACTATATTTGTAATATTTTGTAAAATGCTCATTGCAGGAATGCTGTAATATTACTTACAAAAAATATGGCTAGAAATCACCGGCTCTGTTTTTTTTTTGGCTAGAGCAAAATTACTAATTATGCACGTTACTGGTGTTAATCAATACAATAAATCATCGTCGTGATCACAATCCACATTATCTCGACGTATCTTTTTTTTTTGGGTTTGCTTACTCTGAGCATTTAACCACCTATAACATTTTTTATTTATTTACGTTCTAATTTTTTTATATCATTTTCAACCTGTTTATGTATCCTATTCTATATTCTTCTTAATTTTTCTTATTTTCTTCAATTCTCACTCATTTTTCAAATATCTAATTCTATTCAACTTTCAGCTTCATTCCATTTTTTTTCTTCATTCTTCTTTCAAGTTCCAATATTTTTCTTCTTACTCCTTATTCAATTCAACTATTCTAATTCTGTTATACCTATTTTTCTTAACTTTTATTTAATTTTTATTTAACAAATACAATTTTTATTTAATTTCAAATTAACTACACGTATATTTTTTTCATAAATTCTAAGTCATTGACAGGATTTGATCCGAAGATCCCTGTCGTGTGAATCGAACACGCTACCAAAGAGCTATGCTCGCCACAAACGTATCTTGTATCTATATATTATCCTTACTAATATGATTTTTGACATATTCTTTTTTTTTAAATTTTTTGTTTATTAATTTTTCCGCCTTTTTCCAGTACGACGACGGCCTGCACTCGCACAGCGGCAGCGGGGGCTACATGGACGGCGTCCCCGCCTCGGCCTCAATGTACGACCCTCACCGTGTGAGCGGCGGCCCGCTGTCCGGCACGTCGCATCATTCGCCGCACATGGGCCACGGCGGCGGCGGCCTTCCGCCCGGCATGCACGCGCCGCCGGGAGCGGCAGCCTACCATCCCGCCAACCACGCAGGACCCGGCGGCGTTGTCGCCAACCACATCATGGGCGCTGGCGTGCCCGACGTACACAAACGAGATAAAGACGCTATATATGGGTAAGGATTATTTATAGAACACGGGGATTATTTACAAGATTATTTACAATCACTCTCTGACAGCGTATCATTTGTACCGAATCTATTGCTGGTCAGATTGAATCAAACATATACATTTTTAAGGAACTTTCATTTTCAATCAATTTGCCATCCATAATAGAAACGTTAACAAACGATAATTTTTTTAGCGTGATATGAAGATTCTTACACAGATTTTTACCCACCACAGTGGTTTCCAATCTTCTCGCACCGCGCTACACCGTTTTTATTGACAAAACTAGTGGGGTGTATGGTTTCGTGCCTTAAGGCAAATTGCTGGAACTTCCCGTACCGTAACGAAATGATCGAGGGATATTAAATGTTTTAAAATAGATTATTATAAATATTGTAACATTGTCGAGTATTTATAAGAGTTATATAAACTAAATTGGAAAGTTGAAATTATTTGTTTAAAGTATATTAGAACAGAATTAAAATAAAAATCTGAATTATTTTTGATATACAAAAAAAAATTCTTGGGAAAAAAAAAAAAATTTTTTTTGAAGCAAATTTTTTTTGTCCAAAATCAATTATTTTGTTAAAACAAGCAAAAAGTTTTTGGAATCATTTAAATCCGACGCTTAGTTCTTTCAAAACTGCCATTTTTTGCGCATTTAGCTCTGTATCTCCGAAACCGCTGGACCTGCCTTTGCCAAAAACTAATCACCCCTTCTCCCCGTCATTACGAATTGAATGTTTTTAGGATCATTCAAATCGGATGCTCCGATCTCTCAAAAACTCGATTTTTATTTTCTGCATTCTTTGCTCCGTATCTCCTAATCGGCTGTACCTGCCTTTACCACAAACTAATCAGCACATCTCCCTATCAATAGGAATCGAATGTTTTTTGAACCATTCAAATCGGTTGATCCGTGCGCCCGAAAACGTGGACGAAAAATTGTATCCGTACATACATACACACTCACACACACACACATCATTTTTTTCTGAGGTATGCCAAAATGTTCAGAAACCTTGAAAACGTCGAGAAATGTAAAAAAATTTAATTTTGATTTTCGGCCCATTACAATAACTTACCCTACGGGAAGTTAATATTGCTGACTCCTCTTAATTTTTCTAACTATCTAATTTCATATATACTCGACTGATGTTATAATGTAAATTTATATAAAATATTATGTCGAAAGATGCATACAAATGGGTGTCTCATGGCGTAACGGTTAAGCGCACTGACTTGTTTGATAAGGGTTGTGAGTTCAAACCCGTAGCGATGTCCATTATCACTTCATAATCTAGATCAAAAATATATTTCCAATTGAAAATAACCGATTTTCGTGCACTGCGGTGTAAAATGCCAAGAAAAATTTCTAACACTATTCTTCCCTGGATCGAGTTGGATTTTAACTCAGCTCATCGACCTTATACATAAAAATAATCAATTATTCCTTCATTTTTTATATTATTTTTTTTTTGGTTCAGGATTTGTTCGGAAATAGTATTTTGAAAAAAGTTGTAGTTCCCCCTTGCAACAACTTTGCACCCCCCTGAGATGCCGCGCCCCACAGGTTGGAAACCACGGCCCCACAATAAATCGACTAATTAAAACGACACTATTTTCCGGTAGATATACACTTAACCGATGTGCCTTATTTCAACACAATCTTTTTACGGATGTGTTTTATTATTTTTACATACAGATTTTTTTCTCGGCACATTTTTATAGATCGTTAGAATCCTATAAAAATGTAGACGCATATATATTTAAAAATAATGTTTCACTGGATATAATCACTGTAATTATGTATGTTTACATCTGACGTGAATGTTAAAAAAAGAGCTTTTAAATTAAACGCACCTTTATGTCAAACATACATTTTCGAGGAAGAAAATAATATAAAGAATATCTAATGCGTGTAAAAAAATGTTTTAAGCGGGAAAGAAATGTTTAAATTTTAATGCATATAATAATTAATATTTAGCAAGAAAGTTGTAAAGAAACACATAATATATAGTTTTAAATTATATTCTTTCATTCCACGTGCAAAATAGCTTTCTTTAATTTTTGCTTAAAACCCTTGCGTGTCTTATGAAAAACAAATATTATTTTTGAACACATCCGTTTAAAGTTGACTGATTTAAATCTAAAATGTAAGTAAGGCACGGCACGAATATGCTATAGCAATCATTAAAAAAAATCACGGTAAAAGTTCGGTTTCTTTTTATAAAGTATTTATCCGATAGATTTTTGCACACTGGCAACACGCGGCCCAACAAAATAACCCAACGCACAAAAATCGTGTATATCCTTCCATTTCTACATGTCAGTGTTGTTTTAAATCCTGATAATTTCTATAATGAAATAAAGTTGCATCTGGCTGCGTGTATGTGAGCTTTTTTTATTATTATTCTACCATAACTTTTAAACGGCTGAATGGGTTTCATATGTCATGTTAGGCAACGTAGCGTCATTGAAAATTCAGTATGGCTGACGCATATGCCATATTATAATAATATCGTCTTTAAAGCTCAGAACCGGCTCAAAATATAGAATTAGGAAACTTACAGTCGTAATAGTAATAGTCGAGTCGGTGGTTATGATCGGTTCTTGATTCTGATCACAGAAACTCAATGACTTATAGGAATATTATTCCAAAATTTATTGGAATATTAATTTATTTAATATATTAAAAAGTACAGCTATGAGTATAATAAAGTTTTAAATTAACAAATTTAATTTGTTAAAGTTTATTAACAAATTATATTAATTGCATTACTCAAATAAAAGTTTCATATAATAGACAATTATAGAGAAGGACAATGATAGACATATACAAAAATGATCATTTTTGTTATATTGGAATTAATAAAGACAAAAATACATTTTTAAATGAGGCTTTTAGATCGTTTAAAAATTATAAATAATAATAGCTACCCAGAAAAACTCGTACTCGTACATAGGGGAGCTAGGGGCTTTTTGTAACAGGGGTAAGTAAAAACAGGCGAATTTTCAATAAGATCTTAAACTATATTATAATATTTCTTTGTTTGGATTGGACATGTAAACCGTCCTGCATAATATTGTCGACGTTTTGATCATAAAATTTTGGTTTGCATAAGTATTATCGACTAATTTAAATTTTACATACCTTATTTCGTTTCAAATTTATCAATCTCTGATAATGTGTTTAAATAGTTGCCTTGAACAATGTAAAAAATTCGTACTTGGAATTAGTTGAAACAAATTTTTGGGGCTAGTTGCAAAAATGATATCGTCTGGTATGTATACAGATTCAAGTGTCTACACTATTATATTATGATCACTTATTATTATAGTATTACACTATATCTTTTATTTGTAATATTTATAGTTTATGTTGATTTATGAAAAAATACTTAAAAACATGCCAATTTTGATAAGCAAAATATATTATCCGAGATATAGATGTATAATGTATAATTTTCTGTCGTTACTACTTACCCCGATAGATCATAAAACTAGCCCCAAACACGTAAGTTGTAACACCGCACTTTTTCTAAGAAATGATTATTTGTGAAATAATGAACAACAGTTATGAAATTATTTTTACTTGATCCAGTAGAGGAATAGTTACACTAGCCATCCATCTTTATTTCATAGAATTATAGTCAGTGGATCTGATGATATATTAATTTTGATGAAAACTGTTATAATAAGCCCTTAGCTCCCCTATATATAAGATTATTAAAACCCATTTTTGAAACCAGCTTAATAATTTTATTAAATTATTATTCATTTCCAATTGAATTCATTTTGAATTGCGAAACAGTTCAATCTTTATTTTTAGAGCAAAAATGTGGCGTTTTTCAAACATTTTCTACTTCGATAACTAAATAAAATCAAATGAAAAATTCTTAATTTTCCCTCAATCTTTCGTATACGAAAAAACGGAATCGCATCAGAAAAAACAGCGCACGGAATACATTATCAGGTATAACGATTTCTTTGCGTTAATTACTTTGACACATGCTGTAATTACGGACTTTGCTAACATTTCTAATTACTCGCCATTAATCCAGCTTTTCGAATTTTCCTTTAATTGTATTTTATTTCACCACCATTCATTGCATAAATTACGGTATAGAATCTTTGGAAAACCAATAACGCGTAACATAAAAATGAAGCAAATTTAATAATATTTAAATTTAATTATAAATATAAATAACTTTTGAAGTTCTTAACTTGAAGACTTCTGAAAACTCTGAAAAGCGTAACCCCTAGGTTCCCTATTTTACTTCGTAAATATTTCCTCAAAGAAAACCTTGAAACTCAATATTCAACAGGTTCCGTACCAACATTTTGAGTACGAAGTTCTAAAAATTTATACTAAATAGTCTTATAAACATCTTCTAGGTGCAAATTCTACAAAAATCCGATGAAACCCGTAAGAAACGTTCTATCTATGCGGGCATATAATTTGTTGCTTCTTATCTTTGTTGTTTCACTTGATGAATCTAATTATTAATTAGGTACATAATGTGCGACATTTATGGCTAGTTAAAATTGAAATTAATAAGAACATCGTGAATAAAATACATAATTGCTTTTGATAAGCAACTGCTAGTTATATGAGGATGTATATAAATCTCGATGTCAGCGTGCGTGCGATTTCTTTATAAATTATGCAAAGAATGTAATGGCTTGATATTAATACTAATTTTGATTAAAAAAATGACTGATACAAGTTTTGTTCGTTTGTTTGAACTGTTTATTTTTGAATAGAGTATAGCGAGATTTAAAGATCTGCGGGTATAAAGGTCCACCACCATTATCTGGAAAACAAGTACAGATTTTTTTAACGATACTATTTTAAAGTAGAGGGCAAAAGATGTGAAACCAATGATCACCTTAATTTTTATGATGTCGCTATGAGTATATAAACGGCCATGTATAAATAATCATAACAATTTTTTTTTTGTAGTTTCGTGAGCACTTTTATTTAATTTATGATACCTGAATATAATTATTAGGTATATGTTATTTAATTGATCTATAAGATATATTGTTATTTTTAAGGTAGATTCAACTTTTTTTATATAACTTTTATGAAAACTAACATGTAGGTGGGGCAAAAAAGACCAACTAAACCCTTACACTGGCACAGGTGTAAACGATAAGAAAATTGTAAATAAAAAGTAAAAAATCGGTTGATCTGTGTTCCGAAATCGTCGGAAAAAATTTGTATCCGCACACACACACATACATTCATTTTTTCTAAGGTATGCCAAAATGTTCAGAAACCTTCGAATCGTAAAGATATATACATACGTATGTATGTATCGTCATTTTCGATTTTTTTGCGATTACTATAACTTGCCCTACGGGAAGTTAATTCAGTTAAAAGTAGCAGATTTACAAGAGATTAATTAAATGAATTCAAACTCTGGTGATGAATATTTTTGACAAGATACTCAGGGTTATATACAGTGTTATCTATGTAAAAAGGTACCTATGACATTTATATTTTGCATTGGTTGAATAATGTTGCTATCTTAAAATCGTTTTAAAATTAAAAATAAGGCATTGGACCGTCTATTTTACCCCGTTATGGGGTAAAAAGTACCAGGTGCCAACTTTTAGAAAAACAGCAAAACAACATTTCTGCAATGATGAGCTTTTTACGAGAGTTTTACCGAACATAGTCAGATAGTTGTTAGTTTAGAATGCGTTACTTGTTGTTATATAATTGGTTTGGTTTTCACAATATAATTCCTCAAAATCAAACTGGATCTTTGTGCCCTGACCTACCCTATGAAACGTTAAAATTGATCTCTGCGACCACTTAAAAGTAGCTGCGGCCTTGGCTATCTTTTCTTGACCGTTAAGGGGTTTTTAAATTACTCTTGTGTATATTAATATCTGCAACGATACAATCCAAATGGAATATATGACATTAAAATCGAACAACACCATGGTATTGGTTCCTCTCGAGTCGTGTCCGCCTGTATGTTACCCGTGTCCTTGTCCGCGCGCTCGCACACACAGAGGCCGTCGCGGCTGTCACGGTATGATCGACACGCGTCCCACATGATTGTGCCCCTTATGAACCCACTTTATAACTCTATCCAAGCATCCTGAACAACATGGGAACATTAAACACAATAGTACTAAACTTTAACGATTGCTATAAACTAATAATCGCATTCAATAATGCAAAAGCCAATGCGAGCGAATGCAAGCATAGCTTGCACGGCACAGGACACGCGGGACGGCACCCGAGCCGGAACGATCGGTGCGTGCCGCGGGATCTGTACCAATTAGGTCGCGCAATAAAATTATAGAAATATATTAACTGAAGCTATAATTTTGCTAATTGAAAATTAGTTGTTTACCCATTACATAAAATAAGCTCCAGAACAATTTCTGAATGATACAAAGCTTTAGGGGCACGTTTTCGGATAAAACAGAAATGTTAAGGGTCTATCTTCGTATGAATTGGTAGTAACAAACTGTCAAGAAGCTGTGTATTTGCTGTGCGATCAGACATTTCACACATAAAACCTAACTTAACGTATTTGTTATCAAAGAGACATCAGAAAGTTGAACTTATGATAAAATTATTATTTGACAATTGTGCATATGCTTTATATGTAAAACGCCTGATCGCACAATAAATAAATTTCTTTTATCCCTTTGGGGCCGTTCAAGTATTACGTAAGCACTATAGGGGGGCGAGCGGGTTGTTGATTTGCATATTTTGGGTTGACATGGGGGGCAGGGGAGTGTGGATGATGATAACGTCATAGGTAGTATTTTTAACTTCCCGTAGGGTAAGTTATAGTAATCGCAAAAAAATCGAAAATGAAAATTTTTATATATCTTTACGTTTCAGAGGTTTCTTAACATTTTGGCATACCTTAGAAAAAATGGATGTATGTGTGTGTGAGTGTGTGTGTGTGTATGTGTGTGTGTGTGTATGTATGTATGTATGTACGTGTGTGTATGTATGTGCGGATACAAATTTTCGTCGACGATTTCGGGAACACGGATCAACCGATTTGAATAATTCAAAAAACATTCGATTCGTATTGATAAGGAGACGTGCTGATTAGTTTTTGGCGTAGGCAGGTCCAGCCGTTCCAAAGATACGGGGCAAAAAGTGCCGAAAACGGTAACTCAGTTTTTAAGAGAACGGAGCGTCCGATTTTAATAATTCAAAAAACATTTGACTTGTATTGACAAGATGAAGAATTGATCAAATTTTCATGAGGGCAGGTCTAGCGGTTTCGGAGATCTAACGAAAAAAGTAAAAAAAAATGCCATTTGGCGATCAAAAATGATCATTAGACATATGCACATCAAATCATCAGATATTTTATGGAGATTTTAACAATAAGTATAAATTTTGTTTGCATTCCTATGGGTTCCGTACCAATATTTATTCGTTAGACGGCGACGCGCCGCTTACGCGCTTTGACATTTTGTCTCTATGCAGTTAAAGCAGTACGATTGCTTTGAAAAAAGATCTTCCAAAATATGCCAAAATAAAGAAGAAAACATTATTTGTTCCAAAAAAAAATTAAAAAAAAAAAAAAAATAGATTTTTTTTTGAAAAAAATTTTTTTTCAAAAAAAAGTAATTTTTTGTTTAATTTATAGTTTCTCAAAAATCTTATTTTTTCGAAGTAAATTTGTTTTAAAAATGTCAATCGTTTTTAAAAAAATAATAATTTTTGGTACGGGAAGTTCCAGCAATTTGCCTTAAGGCACGATGCCTTAATTGCCTTAAGACAGAATTTCACTTACAGCTAGTTATTTTTATTTTTATTTTAATTGCAAAATGTTTACGTAAGCATGGGGGTAGGGGGTAAGAGCTTTGCTTACTTTTGCTGACAAGGGGGATGGGGGGGGTAAATAATTGTAATAAATCTGCTTACGTAATACTTGAACGATCCCTTTATCACTTTTTGGATTTAACCTTTTTGCTCAATGAATTTGACAAAATTTTCCATTTTAGTCGCCTATATTATTGTTTTTTGAGACAAAAATAACACATGCATCCAATGCAAGTAGAAGTGATCTAATCTTTTTTTGACAGTTCTTGTCTACCAACCATAGACCTTATACTACATGAACCGCTAGTCCTCATACGTTTTCCATTTTGTAAAGTGTCAAAAGATAGAAGGGGACTGTGACGTCACTTAGTGAACGAGAGTTGCCGACAATCGTGGAACACTCCGGATTAATTAAATGTCATATGTCACGTGCCTTAACCTAAAAGAAAATATACTACACTTGATTTGCATAATGATGTGGATATTATATCACATATTATATTATATATTATACACCATAATAGTTAATGTGATTCAAATATCTGTAATAGTTTTATTTCAATAATATGATGGCAATTGTGTGGAATAAGAGACATCAGTATGTTAAACTTATGATAAAATTATTTGAGGTTAAATACGTAAAACGCCTGATCGCACAATCCTCATATGTTTTTCATTATAAATCCGTCCTCATGTGCTTTTTATTTTATATAGTGTCAAATGATACAAGGGGACTGTGACCTCATTGAGTGAACGAGCGTTGCCGACAATCGTGGAACACTCCCAATTGATTAAATGTCATATGTCACGTGCTTGACCTAAAAATAAATATTCTATGCTCGATTTGCATAATTATGTAGATATTATATCACATATTATTATTATATTATATATTATATACCATAATAGTTAATGTGATTCAAATATCTGTAATAGTTTTATTTCAATAATATGATGGCAATTGTATGTACCTTATACTTTTTTAGGAATTTTGGTATTAATAATATTGCCCATGTGCAATAAATGTACATGAAATCGAATCCACCTGTTAAAATCGATTTATGCATATGACATTTAATCATTCGGGTGTGCTCCACGATCATCGGCAACGCTCGTTCACTTAGTGACGTCACAGTCCCCTTCTATCTTTTGACACTTATTTTGCGCTCGATTTGCAGTCCATGTAGTAGTATAAGGATCTATGCTACCAAGTCATACGATTATAGATCCGTAACATAGCATTGTCCCCTTGGTTTAACCTTATTCCCCAATGAATTTGACAAAATTTTAAATTTTTTAGTCATGGTTTTTGAGACAAATAACACAAGTATCCAATGCAAGGAGAAGTGATCTAATCTTTTAATCATTTAAAATAAAAAATAAAATATTTTTATTCAAACGGTATGCAGTTTACAATCTATTTATTATTCGGAACAACGGCTGGCTCATGTTACTGTGAAACCAAGCGGCTCAGAACAGGCTTCTTGCATCTTAAAGACATAATATAAGTATTTAATTAAAACAAATGTTTATAATGGAATATATTCTGAAGAATTTTATTAATAATTAATTTTCTAGTTATTTTTTATAAATTATGCCGTATCCAAAATTCGTCAATAATTTTATTTAAAAAATTTGTAATATTAGAAAAAGTGTGATACTGTGTATTGATATATTATTACATATATATTAATATAAATTTTTATTTCAGTCATCCCCTGTTCCCGCTTTTGGCTCTGATATTCGAAAAATGTGAATTAGCAACCTGCACGCCGCGCGACCCCGGAGTGGCCGGCGGCGATGTTTGTTCGTCAGAATCATTTAATGAAGATATCGCAGTATTTTCTAAACAGGTAAGAAATTTCATATGATTTAAGTGTCATTCACGTCGAAATTGTTTGACGTTTTTAACAAGTCCGCGTTTTTTTAAACGCGCAACCGTTTTGTTTCACGAATATCAAACGATGACTTGGATAATTGTCACAGACCTTGTGCTTCTGTCGAAGTTAAAAGTTAGTGGAAATGATGTATGTTTGATAAAATTGACTTTTTTTAATAATAATCGTTAGTTTTTATTGATATTAATTGAATCATTTTTTCTAATAGTTAAGAGTTTGTGAAATTTTAGTTAATTCAACATTTTTATTGGCGACGGAAAGGTTACCATAGGTAAAACTAGATGCGTTCAATTATCGCTCGATTCGTCACTGATTTTATAATTCATGAATTGCTTGCAGAAAGAGCAATTTTAACGACAAAAATGTAGAAATTGAATTTTAAAATCTGAAGATACAACTGTGTTTAGAAAGAACTAGGTACAATACAAACATATGCCAAACCTGAAAATTATGCCCCAGAGTTTTTGGAATCTCACCTGATTCGCTAGTTATGCTACAACATAATTCAAAAATGAATGTTCGGGATTTGCTTCGTAAGTAAAAAATATTTAATTAATGAAAAGCGCGGTAATAATAAATCAAAAGTGCACTAGTAATATGCTTTAGGAACATTTATATGTGGTATGCTTTGCAGTGGGTAAACCATCCATATAATTTGTGTTAGCCGCTCTTTTCACTTATATACTACGTATCTCCACATTTACATCAGTTAGTTATTTTTGATATTAATAATGTTGTAGAAATATTTTTTATTTAGTTTACAAATATTAACTTTTGCCGGGTCAGCTAGTATATATATACATGTGTGTTTGTGTACGTGTAATATTATCGCATTATTACGAATGTATTAATATATTATTGTTAAAACAAATCTGTAATTTAAATGGTTTAGTTGATTTGTGATAGCCCTTAAAAAGCGTTTCAAATTTCGTCTTATTTATTTCACGGGCCATAAATAAATATGACACAGAGTTTTCGATATTACTTATGAGTCTGATATGATATATCGATATTTTATCTGATAAATTTCGGTTCGATTCAATAATACTCTAGCTGGATTGTCACGGTTTTGATATCAAACGATAAACAGAATTAATCAGTAGAGCACTAATCCCGGCTTAATCCGATGTTACATATATTGATTTCTATTTTGTAATCGTACATGTGGAAAGGTTATTTTTTTATTAAAATATTTCCTATGGTTATTAAATACAATTTTTTGTCGACTGAAAAATCTATTGTCTATTTGTTCGCCCGTCACGGACTTCAGAAATCTTTCACAAAAATCTAAATGGGTGACCGTGTTACAAAAGAACAACATTTTTGACGTAGGTACGACCAAACAAAAAAGAATCATTTTTTTTGTTATACATGAATACTTTTTACCTTTCAAATTAACTATTTGAGAACCTGTCACAGTAATTGTAGTTTCTTACGGTCGCAGGATGCTGTAGTTTATGTATGTTATTAGCCATAATCTATATTTATGCGACGAATACTAAAAGCAGTGATTTTTCACACATAAAAAAGTTATTTGTAATAAAATGTACATTCGCAAAGACTCGTAAATAAACAGTCAAGTGAATAATGCTTATAGCCGGGCACGTTGAGTGCCGGGAAGGGAAAATTATGTAGGGAAATGGAATTCACACAACCGCACATCTTGTAATAAGTGACATAATATTTAAATAATAGTTGCAGGTGGTATATGAATTTTACTACTACATAACTTCACAAAAATAATAAATTTTCTCCATGACTTAATAACTAATTTATAGAAAGAAACCAATGAAACACAAGTTCCATAATGATTTTTACGTTGTTAATTATTCAAAACGAAGCCTGTTTGAATCGTCCCAAATTGGCTCGTAAAAACACACGTTTGAATCCGTGATTAAATTGTGATATGAATTCATAATGCCGAGGATTCGGTGAAATTTACATTCGTCCACTAACAGATACTTAAGATTGACATTTTGACTTTAACGGCACTTTAAGGAACAGCGGATGAAACAATGGTTCACTTAAAGAAGAAAAAATAAAAAAATGAATCAACTTTTTGCTGTACACAAATGTGTAATATAAAGTTTTGCTTATGAGACATGTTAAGGTATGCACAAGCCCAATATAAGTATAGAATAGAGCGGGGCTTAAAGGTCCGCCACCGAAATCTCAATAACAAATAAAATTAACAATTTTTTAACAACAATATTTGAAAGTAGAAGGAAAAAGTTGTATACCCAACATAAATAAATATGTAAATGAAGGTAAAAATACATTTTTACAAGAGATAAATAAAATAAATAGTTATTCCAATTGTGCTGTTCAATATTTCTTACGAAATACCAGATTTACAGTCTTGAATATTACAATTATGAATAAATTCATATAAATGTTAACATCAAATGAAAATTGGTTAATAAGTTATTTTCATCAAAGTTTTTTGTTTGTCAAATTTCCTCATATAAATAATATTACAAGAGTCGAAAAGTAAATGACCTGATCCGTAGTTGCATTAATTAACAGTCCTGCGGCCGAAATTGTGATTCCATGTGAAGATAGTGTATCAGTTCGATGTCGTATGTTTTTTTCGACTCGAGACTTAAAAATGATTCTAAGGACAGAATTTCTCGGAAACATTCTTGTACAGGTATCGATGCATTCATTGACATTGTCAAATAAAAAGGTCCCCGGTCAAGTAAAAAAGCTTGTGATATTTCAACCTGCTCCTCTCATCGGTCGATGCCATTTTATAGATATCGTTTATCTTATTATCTTGTTATTCGTAAGCATCTGCGAGATCATCGGACGAATGTTGTGTTGTTAGTATTTTATGTGCCAAACACAAAAATCCGAGAAAATGTATTGATACATTGCTCATGGCGATTGCTTTTCATGATAAACCACCCACGGGCCACATTTCGACTTAAACACACATGTACTTTTATATACATGGGCCAATGTACATGTCTATATATACATGAATATATGCACTTACCTGCTTTTTTACTCTTTTATTATAATTATTTTTCTTATTAATTTTATTTTCCTCCTTTATTATATTTATTATACATTTTTTTTACATTATCATTGTTAGTTACATTTTTTTTTGCTAATCAAATATCTAATGCTGGAAATAAACAAATTAATACATATTTGTTTATATACTTCGTATATAAGAAGATATTTTACGAAATAATAGCTTTATTTAACCAAGCAAATACAAATTTTATGGGAACTTTTATTTGTGGTTTATAATCTTCATCTTGTATTTCGTAAGAAATATTCATCAGTAGAGATAAAATAACTATTTAATTTATCTCTTGCAAAATTGATATTTCCAACTTAATTCACTTTTTTATTTACTATTTCTTATTGCTTGCACCTTTGTCAATGTAAAGGTTTAGTTGATTCGTTTTACCCCACCCACTCCTAAGCTTTTAATGAGGTTATATAAAAAAACTGTTGAATCTAACTTAAAAATAACAATACATCTTATTATCTCATCTCATTAAATAACTTATGCTTAAAAATTATATTCAGGTATCATAAACTTATATCATGAGTTCAAAACTAAAAGAAACGCCAACAACACAAAACTTTTGGTATGAATATTGCTATATTTTTATTTATCTCCTGATATTACTTTAAAATAGTATCAATAAAAAATCTACTTTGCTCGTTTTGCAGATAATTATGATGGACCTTTTTACCCGTGAACCTTTGAGCCCTATACGTACCACATATACTTCAAACCTTTAAGTACTTTTCAAACGCGTTTAATTTGTTTTATATTTTCTTGTCTAAAATTTATAATACCATTTCTACTTTAATTTTTAATTTTGGTTATTATATTAACCTATAGAAATTTTGCACTTTACCTGATTTTTTCAAATCTATTCACTATTCATTTCATAATGAAATTTCTGCTGCCAGGTAAGGTATTATTTTTGTATTCGTTTCATAGTTAAGATTTTGAGCGGATTTGCATATCCATATGACGGCTTTCGAATTTCAATGATAATATATGTGCTCCTATAGAAAAGCCCAAAAGAGCAATTCCTTTTTTGTGCTTCTACGCCGAGTTTAGAAATAAATAACACAAAGACGCTGTTGGATCGTTTAATGTTTTGGCAGGCATTGACCGTTGCACAGCGGGAGGTGCAAACTTTGAAAATTACAAAAAAGAACATCCAGAATATAATACTATATACGACTTATGGAAAAAACGTATAGGGTATTGCAGAGCGCATTCGAAACGCGGAGCGTGGTACCCTCCGGTACCACGCCGAGCGCTGCCTAGTGCGAGGGCCACGGGGACGATCGATCTGCTCTGGTTCGGCACCATAATAAAGGACTAATATATATATTTCTATTTTTTTTTTTCCAAATATTTGTAAGCTTTTGTTGTCATCCAACTGTCTAAGTTCAGTTAATTTCGATGTCGTTTTTTTTTAATATTTGCCTATTCCATATTGAACATCCGCTAATTTTTGGTAGTGCCTCTATGCGCTGATAAATGCTAAATTTAATTAAGTGTTATAATTAAACCGCTTTTCATAAGCCTCTAATATTTTACGATGGTCAGTTTGGGCATAAAATCTACCATTGTGCCAAGTTTCATAAAAATCCGAAGCAAGCTACGCGCGGGTTTTTCCTTATTAGAATGTCTAAATCGAAAGCTAACCCGGTCCCATTGGCGTCCGGGTATGAATGATGGAATATGTATAAAAAACTGGAATACGAAAAAATGTTAAAAATTCAATACAGACTTTGATTTTGCTTCGATACGCTGAACAAATATCTATTCCCAAACAAATAATTAAATTGTTGAATAATTGAATTAATAATTCAATATAATAAACAATCCGACAATAAAGACCCCGAGAATATATATAGAGAGTAGAAAATATATAGAGACCCAATGAGAGATGTCTTGTAAACATTTTATACTA